ACTCCACAACTGTGACTGTCGCCTGATGCAGCTGGTTGTTGTGATTACTCCACAACTGTGACTGTCGCCTGATGCAGCTGGTTGTTGTGATCACTCCACAATTGTGGCTGTCGCATGATGCAGCTGGTTGTTGTGATTACTCCACAACTGTGACTGTTGCCTGATGCAGCTGGTTGTTGTGATTACTCCACAATTGTGACTGTCGCCTGATGCAGCTGGTTGTTGTGATTACTCCACAACTGTGGCTGTCGCCTGATGCAGCTGGTTGTTGTGATCACTCCACAATTGTGGCTGTCGCTGATGCAGATGGTTGTTGTGATTACTCCACAACTGTGGCTGTCGCCTGATGCAGCTGGTTGTTGTGATTACTCCACAACTGTGACTGTCGCCTGATGCAGCTGGTTGTTGTGATCACTCCACAATTGTGGCTGTCGCTGATGCAGCTGGTTGTTGTGATTACTCCACAACTGTGGCTGTCGCCTGATACAGCTGGTTGTTGTGATTACTCCACAATTGTGGCTGTCGCATGATGCAGCTGGTTGTTGTGATTACTCCACAACTGTGACTGTCGCCTGATGCAGCTGGTTGTTGTGATTACTCCACAACTGTGACTGTCGCCTGATGCAGCTGGTTGTTGTGATCACTCCACAACTGTGGCTGTCGCCTGATGCAGCTGTTTGTTGTGATTACTCCACAATTGTGACTGTCGCCTGATGCAGCTGGTTGTTGTGATCACTCCACAACTGTGGCTGTCGCCTGATGCAGCTGGTTGTTGTGATTACTCCACAACTGTGACTGTCGCATGATGCAGCTGGTTGTTGTGATTACTCCACAACTGTGGCTGTCGCCTGATGCAGCTGGTTGTTGTGATTACTCCACAATTGTGGCTGTCGCCTGATGCAGCTGGTTGTTGTGATTACTCCACAATTGTGGCTGTCGCCTGATGCAGCTAGTTGTTGTGATCACTCCACAACTGTGGCTGTCGCCTGATGCAGCTGGTTGTTGTGATTACTCCACAATTGTGGCTGTCGCCTGATGCAGCTGGTTGTTGTGATCACTCCACAACTGTGGCTGTCGCCTGATGCAGCTGGTTGTTGTGATCACTCCACAATTGTGGCTGTCACCTGATGCAGCTGGTTGTTGTGATTACTCCACAACTGTGGCTGTCGCCTGATGCAGCTGGTTGTTGTGATCACTCCACAACTGTGGCTGTCACCTGATGCAGCTGGTTGTTGTGATTACTCCACAACTGTGGCTGTCACCTGATGCAGCTGGTTGTTGTGATTACTCCACAACTGTGGCTGTCACCTGATGCAGCTGGTTGTTGTGATTACTCCACAACTGTGGCTGTCGCCTGATGCAGCTGGTTGTTGTGATTACTCCACAACTGTGGCTGTCGCCTGATGAAGCTGGTTGTTGTGATCACTCCACAACTGTGACTGTCGCCTGATGCAGCTGGTTGTTGTGATCACTCCACAACTGTGGCTGTCGCCTGATGCAGCTGGTTGTTGTGATTACTCCACAATTGTGGCTGTCGCATGATGCAGCTGGTTGTTGTGATTACTCCACAACTGTGGCTGTCGCCTGATGCAGCTGGTTGTTGTGATTACTCCACAACTGTGGCTGTCGCCTGATGAAGCTGGTTGTTGTGATTACTCCACAACTGTGGCTGTCACCTGATGCAGCTGGTTGTTGTGATTACTCCACAATTGTGGCTGTCGCCTGATGAAGCTGGTTGTTGTGATCACTCCACAACTGTGGCTGTCGCCTGATGCAGCTGGTTGTTGTGATTACTCCATAACTGTGGCTGTCGCCTGATGAAGCTGGTTGTTGTGATTACTCCACAACTGTGGCTGTCGCCTGATGCAGCTGGTTGTTGTGATTACTCCACAACTGTGGCTGTCGCCTGATGAAGCTGGTTGTTGTGATTACTCCACAACTGTGGCTGTCACCTGATGCAGCTGGTTGTTGTGATTACTCCACAATTGTGGCTGTCACCTGATGCAGCTGGTTGTTGTGATTACTCCACAACTGTGGCTGTCACTTGATGCAGCTGGTTGTTGTGATTACTCCACAATTGTGGCTGTCACTTGATGCAGCTGGTTGTTGTGATTACTCCACAACTGTGGCTGTCGCCTGATGCAGCTGGTTGTTGTGATTACTCCACAACTGTGACTGTCACCTGATGCAGCTGGTTGTTGTGATCACTCCTCAATTGTGGCTGTCGCATGATGCAGCTGGTTGTTGTGATTACTCCACAATTGTGGCTGTCGCATGATGCAGCTGGTTGTTGTGATTACTCCACAATTGTGGCTGTCGCCTGATGCAGCTGGTTGTTGTGATTACTCCACAACTGTGGCTGTCGCCTGATGCAGCTGGTTGTTGTGATTACTCCACAATTGTGGCTGTCGTCTGATGCAGCTGGTTGTTGTGATTACTCCACAACTGTGACTGTCGCCTGATGCAGCTGGTTGTTGTGATTACTCCACAACTGTGGCTGTCACCTGATGCAGCTGGTTGTTGTGATTACTCCACAACTGTGGCTGTCGCATGATGCAGCTGGTTGTTGTGATTACTCCACAACTGTGGCTGTCGCCTGATGAAGCTGGTTGTTGTGATTACTCCACAATTGTGGCTGTCGCCTGATGCAGCTGGTTGTTGTGATTACTCCACAACTGTGGCTGTCACCTGATGCAGCTGGTTGTTGTGATTACTCCACAACTGTGGCTGTCACCTGATGCAGCTGGTTGTTGTGATTACTCCACAACTGTGGCTGTCGCATGATGCAGCTGGTTGTTGTGATTACTCCACAACTGTGGCTGTCGCCTGATGCAGCTGGTTGTTGTGATTACTCCACAACTGTGGCTGTCGCATGATGCAGCTGGTTGTTGTGATTACTCCACAACTGTGGCTGTCGCATGATGCAGCTGGTTGTTGTGATTACTCCACAACTGTGGCTGTCGCCTGATGCAGCTGGTTGTTGTGATTACTCCACAACTGTGGCTGTCACCTGATGCAGCTGGTTGTTGTGATTACTCCACAACTGTGGCTGTCGCATGATGCAGCTGGTTGTTGTGATTACTCCACAACTGTGGCTGTCGCCTGATGCAGCTGGTTGTTGTGATTACTCCACAACTGTGGCTGTCGCCTGATGCAGCTGGTTGTTGTGATTACTCCACAACTGTGGCTGTCGCCTGATGCAGCTGGTTGTTGTGATTACTCCACAACTGTGGCTGTCGCATGATGCAGCTGGTTGTTGTGATTACTCCACAACTGTGGCTGTCGCCTGATGCAGCTGGTTGTTGTGATTACTCCACAACTGTGGCTGTCGCCTGATGCAGCTGGTTGTTGTGATTACTCCACAACTGTGGCTGTCACCCAATGAAGCTGGTTGTTGTATTTACCGGCGGAACGTCGCACCCAAATGATAAATGTTGTGGGTTGTTTACTCTCCAACACACAAACGCTTAGTGCTGAAGTAGTAACGAATTGGCACGTTTTGTTTGCGAGACAACCCTTACTAATTGGCTGTGACGGGTGGTGGCGGGTTTAACGACACATTTTTATTCACACAATCTAACCCCCCCCCCCCCAAAAAAAAAAACCCTCTATCAAGGCTAGGCTATGATGCAACAAGCAGCAGCAAGCACACTGACATATTCTGTCTGGCAGCATACCAGCACATTCTTCTTCCAAGCATGAAGTCTACATTGAAGGAGAGTTACCGGTTTCAAAATACACCTTGATAAGCAGGGCGGTCTGATTCTCTCTCAAACACACACACACACCAACGCTTAGTGTTAAAAAATTAACCCGTAAAAACAAAGTTTTTCACTATAAATCCTTTATATGCGTGGCGGCTAGAGTCCTCTCGTCCTCTGGCTTGAGATGGCTGCCACCTATGGGTCAGATGATTGCCTGCCACCATTAAGCAATTGGTAATTAAATATAATTTATTTTTTCCTAAAAAGTGTAACATTTTGGAAATTCACGAAAATAAATGGTCACGCACAACTAGTCTGTGTGCAAAATGTCAGCTCGATTGGATCACGAGAAGTGGGTTAAAAAACGACCGAAAGATTTGCACGGTCGTAAGCGCGCAAGCAAGCAAGCAAGTGAACTTAATATAAAGGATTTAAAAAATTGACCCGTAAAAACAAAGTTTTTCACTATAAATCCTTTATATGCGTGTTCAATGGGCCACAACCCAGCCCACATTGGTCTTTGAAACGGGCGGCTAGAGTCCTCTCGTCCTCTGGCTTGAGATGGCTGCCACCTATGGGTCAGATGATTGCCTGCCACCATTAAGCAATTGGTAATTAAATGTACATTTTTTTCCTAAAAAGTGTAAAGTTACGGAAAAAAATTTCACGAAAATAAATTGTCACGCACAACGAGTCTGTGTGCAAAATGTCAGCTCGATTGGATCACGGGAAGTGGGTTAAAAAATTACCAAAATATTTGCACGTTCGTAAGCGCGCAAGCAAGCAAGTGAACTTAATATAAAGTATTTAAAAAGACAAAGATCCCCCGTGTAGCCTTCAACAGAACGTTGGGGAAAGTGTTGTTAGCGAGCGCCTATTAAGGCCAGCACCGCACACGAGGGGGTGGGTGGCCAGCACCACGCCCGGTCGCCTTTGTCTCCCCAGTGGCGATGTTTACACATCGCACCAAGTACACAATTAAGGTTGAGTCGACCTAGGGAAGGCCCTGGACCGGTATAATCGTTATTGGTGGTGGACGTGAGCAGGAATCGCAGTCGGGAAGCCGGGTTTGTTGCGCAGCGTAGCGCTAACCACTACGCCACCGCTCCCCACCATCCTCCCACTTACACAGGAGATGAGTGCGCTAACCACTGCGCCATCGCTCTCCACCACCCATTCACTCACACAGGAGACGAGTGCGCTAACCACTGCGCCACCGCTCCCCACCACCCATTCACTCACACACAGGAGACGAGTGCGCTAACCACTGCGCCACCGTTCCCCACCACCCATTCACTCACACACACAGGAGACGAGTGCGCTAACCACTGCGCCACCGCTCCCCACCACCCATTCACTCACACACAGGAGACGAGTGCGCTAACCACTGCGCCACCGCTCCCCACCACCCTCCCACTCCCACAAGGTCGCGGCGTCGTCAGCTGAGAGGTCAGCGCGGGGTTGTTGTGGATGTTTGTGGTGGATGTTGTTTGTGGTGGACGTCTCCTCTGTGTGGGGAGCGGTGGCGCAGTGGTTAGCGCACTCTACTCCTGTGTGTGGGGAGCGGTGGCGCAGTGGTTAGCTCACTCGTCTCCTGTCTGAGTGAATGGGTGGTGGGGAGCGGTGGCGCAGTGGTTAGCGCACCGCGCTCGATACCAACCCCCGGGGCACCCGAGTACGACCCCCCCCCCCCCCCCCCCAGGGCCTCCGCACCACCGTCTCGGTCGACTTTCAAGCGAGCACTCGGTGCGTTGTAGACGTCAGCAATGTGGGGAGACAAAGGCGGCCGGGCGTGGTCGCATCACCGCCCACGGCAGCCCGGTGCCGGTGGTGCTGGTGGTGGGGAAGCGTCTGGGTTGCCAGTCTCACTGGGCCAGAGACCGCGAGGCCTCGTCCATCACCGCCGCCCGTGGGCCCCGTGGGCCCCGTGGGGCCCCGTGGGGCCCGTGGGGCCGCGAGGCCGCGTCTCAGACACCCCGCGGGCATCGCCTCCGCACCAGGCCTCCCCCAGCCCCCCGTCCTTGCCTGGCCGCGCCGCCCGCGCAGCCTCACGTCGGGCGGCGTGGGGGGCAGGCCCCGGTGGTGGTGGTGGTGGGGGAAGTGTGGAGGGGGCGGCGAGCAGCAAGGTGGAGGTTCGTGTCCACGAGGGGGCGCCGTAACACCAAAGACGACCGCTGTTTAACACGAAGTTAAATGATTTGGTGACCGATTTAATCAATAATCAAGGGGTTAGAGCGCGTAAATCGAGTTGTGTCGTTAAATCCGCCACCACCCGACACAGCCAACGAGTAAGGTTTGTCACGTAAACAGAACGTGGCCAATGAGTTACTACATCAGTGTGTTGGAGGCTACACCCATAACGTTTACAATTCGAGTACGACGTTTCGCTGATGATTAAAGCTAGCTTCATCAGGCGATTTGCCACAATTGTTAAGACGTTTTCCTGTTTCCGAGGAGTAAAGGTGATGCCATCACTGTGAGCATATCAGGCGTGAAGATCATGGAGGTTAATGTAATCATATACATTACAATGGAGCATGTTAATCTGAGGATATGCAGTACAGTTAATCAACATACAGCTGACAACTCTACAAGCTGGGGTCAATCTTGAGAGCCTATTTATAAAGGGATTTCAAATTCGGAATGCAATGGGTACACAAAAACTTTTCAGTGACTTCTCAATGCATGTCATTATTTAACATTCAATAATTGGTCGCCGACATACGAACCTTTACCCATAAATGTAGTTAATGTTTCCAATTGCGGTGGCTATCGGATTTTGGGAAGATGTGAGATTGTCTAGTGGTGGCGTGGCTTGTCGCGAGGTGGTCTTGCACACCCATGCTCCGGTTTGCATGAAGATTGGGGGATTTGTGATGGGTGATGGGAGAGGAGGGACTACATTGGCACCATCGTGAAGGATGGCAACGGCTTTGCCGAGACCTTTATCCAGCAGTGGATAGAGTACGGTTCATGATGACATTTGCAGAGGTGACATACTGTACTGGACAGCTGTGGACATGTATGTTGCACTTTTAGATACTGCATGTATACAAGCTCTATTTGACTACTTAGGCATGCTATGTATTACTGTGTGTCCATGCCTTAAATGCAAAATGTGTCTAAAGTTAAAACTGGAATTTAAATGTCGGTATTCTTTTTCATTACATTTGCTATGCACGTAGAAAATGTCATCAAATATGCTTCCATTGTTCAATCTTGTACCTACCCTATCAAACCCCCAATGACCAGCATGGTCAAATAAATATGATGAACTCCTTTTTCACCATACAAATAATCCCCTTGACCTGCCCGGCGTAGGCAGGTCCTCATCCAGCAGTGGATTGACAGGGCTGTGCGTGTACTGTGCACTGCATGCATTGCCTGTGGGCATTTGCCACGTATTTCTTATCCTAATAACAGATAGGCAGCTTGTAGCTTGGCATTCCGGTTTACAGACTTCTCTGTCGTCGCTTCCCTGTGCAGGTGGCGTGTCCGCAGCCATGCCTGTTTCGCTGCGTGCCCTTCGGCAGCTCGCCGTGTTCTGGGGGGTCATGACAACTGGAGGTGGCAGCCTCATGTACTACCTCCTGCAAAGTACGTCGCAGCCGTGGCTCATCATGTCTCGCCATGCCAAATCACACCGCAGCACACCGAAGCACACGTGTCAGTCATTGGTGTCGTGGAGATACGCGTGACACACGCAGAGACGTACACTCACAATTACATGGCATACGCACTTGCACGTACGCACACACGTGAACACATGCTGAAATTTTAGAGAGGAAAGATTGTTCGTTATACTTATCATAAATTAAACAGAGGAGAGAGAGCAGGTCGGCAATTTATATTTTTACTGGACTGCCAGGTTCCCACTCGTGTTGAGAGATATAATTATTTCAGCCCAATCGCTTATATAAAACGCACCTCAATCCAACAGATATAATGTTTAAAAAAATGTTTATTAAAAGCTTAAAATTAATCCAACATTCATGCTTGAGCTATAAATTAAGTTACTAATTTAAAAAAGCGGTTTTTTTGGCCAGGTTAGAATTATACAAAACTTTTTGGGCATGTCAAAAAAGTAAATGTCACAGCGGTTTCCCGCTCATGTGAGCGTGGGACAGTGGTTAAGTGACGGTTACAACCTCGAGTCATTGATAAAGAGGCCACATTCTTATGGCAGGGGAAACTTTATAGAACAGCCTCTACGCAGTGGAACACATTTTATTGACCCCGGAGAAAAATGAAGGTCAGAGTTAACATGTACAGCCTAATTTATGTGTTGGTGGAAAACAGCCTCAAAAGTTTTGAAAACGTTCCATCAAGGGAGTTCAAATGATGAGGTAGCCGATTGGTTAATGGGTCAGAGCACCGACCGAAGTTAATTTTATTATTACACAATTTATTACAATGAGTCATATTACTACTCATTAAATGATCACGTTTGCTTTTGCTGACAAATTTACTTTTGTGTTCTCAAGGCACACAGACGGTTTGTTGCAGTCAATCACTCGTAAGGGCTCGTTCTACCTTACCATTCCTACCTGGATACGTTGTGCAACTTTGTAGGTAAATTACAAATATCTTCCTCTGTGGAAATGCAGACTGTGGGACTGTATGGAGGGGTGCTGCAGTGGTGAAATGCTAACTACCTCGCCTGGTATACAGGTGGTTGTGGGTTCTATCCTGACCATGATTCCTGTATATATTTGGGGTTTGCATGCTCTCCCCATGGTGGCGTGGATTCTCTGGTTCCTCTGTTTTTTTCGTCCACATTTAGAAACATGCCTTTATAATGGTTGGTTGCTATAAATATCCACATGATAAGCCACTTCGTTGAGCTATCATTTGTGGCCAGGTCGCTTCTGACAAAGAGCTATATCGTTCAGTGGGCCTTACATGGTAAAATTAATTTGTTTTAGTTGAGATTTGGTTTATAATTGCTGACAACTCCCAGCCCCTGTACAAGCCTAGGCTCAACGCTCCTCTTCCTCTTGACTGACCGTTGGAAATGTTTTTGTTTGCATGTTCACCACAAGTATGGGTGGTTAATGCAGACATGATTCCTTGCAAAAGGTTTCTGTTTGGTGTTTTAACATCTTAACATCTGTTTTATTTCCAGAAAGGATAAAACATAATTCTTATATGTGTTGACGTTAGTTCGTAGAGTTCCGATTGCCATTGACACTTCCCTGCCTTCCGATTGGCTGCAGAATATTTTGTGGAATGGGGCTCCACCCCATCCACGTCACGAATTGGGGCAAAAACTGTCTTAAATTTAGTGGAATTGCTTTTGCATACATTTTCGACAATTAAGGGATTCCACAAAAAAGGGTGAAAAAAACTCCGCATGAATCAGACTGCTGGTGTCATGAATTATCACATTCAGCAGGTTTAAGGCTTAACCATTTTAATAAAGCAATTAATCTATGTCCTAATCCGCATGGGCAGCTCTTAATAGAGCCATTTGCAGATATATGTCATCTCAGATTTCTGACAAACCTCTTGTAGTTTGTGTCTGTTGTGTGATTTTCGACCGTTTGGTACGATATTTTATATTCTAATAAAATGTTCTGTATCTCGGAAAGCCAAAGTGAGGCTTAATTAAGACTTTTAAGGGGGGCCCTAGATCATGAATTGTAGCCAAGTCCATTTTAAATTTGCATGTGCAAGGAAACCAAAGAACCCAGAGAAAACCCATAGAAGGGTTCACAAACCTCCCAGCCTCTTGTGTTTGTGAATTTCACAAATCTCAAGTGCTGGATTTTAGGCATATGCAAGGACATACACAGTGAGATCCCTCTAATCTGTGTAGAGATCCAATAATGGATATCCATAATTCTCAATATCTTGAGTTTTCATCCAGCTCTAACATACAACCTTTTATCTCAAAGAATTGCAAATGATAGGATTGATTTTCTAATAAACTACTCATGATCCATAAAAACAAAAACTCGAATGGGGGAGCTGTGGTGCAAGAGTTGTACGCCTGGCTATCAACCCAGTTATCTCAGTAAAAATCCCGCCCACGACTAAAATCAGTGGCGAGTGATATCTGAACTACTTGTAGCAACAACCCAACACGGAAGGCCAAGCTGCACTGACCAGCGTGGTAATAAAGTATGATACAAAAAAAACCATGACCGGCATAGGATGGCCTTCACCCAGCAGGAAATTGACAAATAGCTATCAATGTCATTATAACTCCTTCGATTGGCATGATTCGTTACGTAAGGTGAGAAAGAAGTCCAACATATATACCTACAACAGAAATGTATTTCTGTAATCAATTCATGGTTACCACAGTTGGCTCCAATGGCAGAGGACTTTTTTTTTCTTAAAGTGGAAGGCCCTCACTTTTCACATAATACATTGGCCAAATCAAAACTGGAACGTGCATCAACGTTGGCAAGGCGTGGTTCATAATTAGGATTAGCTTAGCAAACTTTATATGGTTTGTTTGTTTTTGAGAATAGTGCAGGTATTGAAGACATCAACATCAAATAAAAAGACGATTAAAGAGAACACACTGTGCCTCAAGCCATTTGCTGACAGGCGATGATATGGTGATGATGGTGTTTGACTTTCAGTGTCAAGTAGTTGACAAGTTTATTTTCTCTAACCATGTTCTTCTTGACAGACACAAGATATGTATTGAAACTTAATTATATTTTAATTATAAAGTTGCGTAACTGTAACTTACTGTTTACATCCTGGTACTAGTGTTGGCCACGAGTCCTTTCTCATGTAAAAAAGAGCTGTATTCTTTGTCTTAATAGGCTTTTGTATTAAGAGTATTCAAAATAATAAAAATACTCATTCCTTATTTAACCAGGAAAGGCATACTCAATCTGAATACTTTTTTTCAGGAGGGGTCCTACATTGAGACGTTTGGCCAACATCAATGCCTTTGTTTGATTTTTAGCAATTGGAGGAAACCAGAAAACCCAGCAGAACAGGGAGAGAATATATAAATGGCATACAACAGAAAGAAGTGCATAACAGAGGGTGACTTGGCGAGTAAACATGCCATGCCAAGCCATGCAGGCATTTCTGTGTGTCTGGCATTGTAGAGTTGAGGTTACAACAGCGATGTCCAACAAACAGCAAAGAGAGCTCTAGGGTGATGTTTGTACACCTGATTGTCACTTTTGTGGAACGTGTCCAGCAGCCTTGAGACACATGTGTGCATGTCTCATGGTGCAGCCCTTATCGGCTTGCTTTTAGTAACGTTTTACTTTAACATGGGTGCTGGACACAGGGCTAAAGTGGCCAGTAAAACAGCACTATTTAAGGTACAATGGATAGGTGTTAATAGGGTGCTTTTTTAACTGGCCAAAATTGCAATAACTTGTGATGTAATTCCAAAGTCAAGCAGTGCAAGGGAAGAAGCAGGAAGAAGATTCGTGTTTCTGTGGTTAAAGACCGTGTGAATGAAACAAAACTGTCAGTCTGGTAGACCGAGCCCCCTGACATGGGTAGGGGAATGAATGGATGAAGAGGTTTAAATTAAATATATAGTTATTGTGCAGCCACGGTGGCCTGGTATACGGCAGGTCGTGGGTTCGATCCTGAGCCTGACGCCTGTACAATTGGAGTTTGCATGTTCTCCCCGTGGTCGCGTGAATTTTTTCTGGATCCTCCTTGTTTTTTCTCCACATTTAGAAACGTGTGTTTAGAGTATTTGGCTGCTATACATTTCCACGTGATGAGCCATTTCGTTGAGCTATCATTTGTGGTCAGGTCGCTTCTGAACGAAGACTGTATAACTCAGTGGGCCTTACCTGGTATAATAAAAAGATGTAAAAACGTGTAAATAGTATAGCTGTGTTGCTGGAAAGGATCTGACAGCTTAATTTTTTTTACAAGCTCGTCCTTTCGCAGTGGGGGCTTTACCTGTAAATGAGAGAAACAGACTCACTTTAAAGATTCACCGGCTTCACCAAATTGCATTGCTTTGTGGTTTAAACAAGATGCTGATAATTCATGAAAATGGCGCGAATTCTGTAGGAAAAATAAATGTTTGCAGTAATGTGAAAATGTGAGGATTTTGATGAATGATGTGTTCCCTTGTGGTTTGGAGCGGATTGTGTGTAAGAGCTGCAGGTGTTTAAATACGCTCGTGTGTGTTGTGGTGTGTATGTTTATCACCTTCTGTCAAGCTGAGATCCCATGCCACAGACAGTGCATTAAGCTGTGACAGAACACAGTGAAAGTCTATTACACTGGGCTGGAAAAGGAGCAGAAAAAGCACAACTGGGTGGTGGTGCCACATGCCTGTAATGCAGCACTGTGGAGACAAGGGTTGGTGGTTCACACAAATGTTGTGAAACTCCCACTGGGTGTCGAGGTCACCGCACCCTGGCTCGTCAGGAGAGATTGTATTATGTCAAGTGGATTGATCCCCATCACACAAGTGGATGTTCTCTGGTACTCCGATATTCTGTTGTGTATAAACACTCATTGGCTGAAAAAAGATGCATATGTATAGAGGGTCGCTTGGTAGTGTTGGTTCACCCAACTTTTCAAGAGGTCAGTGAGTAAGGGGAAGACCTAGAGCCACATGGTATGGTAGGATACTATAAGAGCAAGCC